TCAATGAGGAATTTGTTCCTAGAAGACGATGATATGGATTGCTGTGTCATTTTCGAGGAGGAGGGGGAGGAAGGCCCTTCCATACAGGCTGTAAGTAGAGGAGCATGCCTCAATAACTGGATCGTCAAAACCACCAAAGCCCGGCGAGCCTCGGGGTAGCAAGGCTGAACAAGCATCATGCACTATTTTATTAGTTTACTTTCCTTTCGCATTTTTATTTTTTGCAAGAAAGAGCTCCAATGTTCGAAACATTAATGGAATTTGTCAAAGCATTTCAATTTTCTTAAAGATCTTACTATTATTATTTTCTTTCATTACTTTACTTATACAGCATTACTATTACTTATCTTGATGAACCAATGACTGTGACATGTAGCAAGACAACGCAACAGACGGACATAGATTCAGAGGAAGGCGATATATCGGAAGAGATTGTTAAAGAAGTTGAGAATTTTGAGAATAGACCTAAGTCCAACCTGGACAAGACCGAAATCGTCAACCTAGGAGATGCAGAAAACATCAATGAAACACGGATCAGCATTCATTTGTCACCATCAGAGAAGGAAGAATATACAAAGTTTCTAAGAGAGTATGAGGACATATTTGCCTGGTCGTACGATGACATGACTGGTCTGAGTACATCTATTGTGGCCCACAAATTGCCAACCGATCCAGCCTGTCCACCAGTAAAGCAGAAGCTCAAAAAGTTCAAGCCAGATATGAGTTTGAAAATCAAGGAAGAGGTCACTAAGCAGGTCAAAGCTAAGGTTCTCATGGTAGTGGAGTATACAACATGGTTAGCCAACATCGTGCCAGTACCGTAGAAGGACGAGAAGGTTAGAGTCTATGTCGACTACCGGGATCTCAACCGGGCCAGTCCGAAAGACGACTTCCCCTTTCCAAACATACACATCCTGATTGACAATTGCGCCAAGCACGAGTTGCAATCATTTGTAGATTGTTTCGCGGGTTACCATCAGATCTGGATGGATGAAGAAGATGCTGAGAAAACGGCTTTCATTACGCCGTAGGGAATGTACTGCTACAAGATGATGCCGTTTGGGTTAAAGAATGCAGGGGCCACCTACATGAGGGCAATGACTACCATTTTTCATGATATGATACACAAGGAGATCGAAGTATATGTAGACAATGTTATCATCATGTCCAAGAAAGCCACCGATCACATGGAAGATTTGAGGAAGTTCTTCAATAGACTGTGAAGGTACAACCTGAAACTGAATCCCGCAAAATGTGCCTTCGGGGTTCTTGCCGGAAAATTACTTGGGTTTATTGTGAGTCGTCGGGGAATAGAACTAGATCCATCGAAGATCAAAGCCATTCAAGAATTGCCACCACCAAGGAACAAGAAAGACGTAATGAGCTTCTTGGGGAGACTTAACTACTTCAGCCGGTTCATAGCACAATCTACAGTTATCTGTGAACCAATCTTCAAGATATTGAAGAAGGATGCTGCCACCGAATGGACTGATGACTGCCAGAAAGCTTTCGACAGAATCAAGGAATACTTGTCAACGTCACCAGTCTTGGTCCCGCCTGAACCAGGTAGACCTCTGTTACTCTACATCGCAGTGTTGGATGGTGCCTTCGGTTGCGTCCTGGGGCAGCATGATGAGATAGGAAAGAAAGAACAGGCCATTTACTACCTCAGCAAAAAGTTCACTCCATATGAGGCCCGGTATTCTCTGTTAGAACGCACCTGTTGTGCTTTAACTTGGGTAGCCCAGAAGCTAAGGCTCTACTTCTGTGCCTATACTACATATCTCATATCAAGGATGGATCCTTTGAAATACATCTTTCAGAAGCCCATGCCCACCGGCAAGATCACCAAGTGGCAGATCCTGTTGAGTGAATTCGACATTGTCTACGTAACTCAGAAAACGATCAAAGGACAGGCACTAGCAGATCACCTTGCCGAAAACCCCGTGGATGGAGAATACAAACCCCTGAAAACGTATTTTCCTGACGAAGAGGTAGCATTCATAGGAGAAGATATTGCGGAATCCTATGACGGATGGAGAATGTTTCTCGATGGAGCAACAAATTTCAAAGGAGTTGGCATAGGAGCAGTCCTAGTATCAGAAACCGGCCAGCATTATACGGTGTCTGCCAAATTCAGGTTCCCATGCACCAACAATATGGCCGAATACGAAGCCTGCATCTTAGGGCTCAAGATGGCTATTGACATGAACATTCAAGAATTGCTAGTAATTGGAGATTCAGATTTGCTTATACATCAGGTCCGAGAAGAATGGGCCACCAAGAACTCCAAGATACACCCTTATCTGCATCACGTACAGGAGTTGAGAAAGAGGTTCACAAAGACAGAGTTCCAGCATGTTCCCAGAGTCCAGAATGAGTTTGCCGATGCATTGGCTACCCTGTCATCTATGATACAACGTCCGGACAAAAACTTCATTGATCCCATTCTAGTAAAGATCCATGATCAGCCAGCTTACTGTGCTCATGTCGAAGAAGAAGCAGATGGAAAACCTTGGTTTCATGACTGTTTAACCAAAAATTAGATTTTAGGTCAAAGCTTGAATTTAGAAGAACTCGGGTTACTGATAATCGGAAAAAGTATATAAGAAAGAGATTTTGAATAATATAATCAGAAAGCAAATAAAACAAAGTATATTCCAGTAGTGTTTTTCGTGTCCCCTACAGATGTTGTGACTTTCTCTTTTTATAGTTAATTTTAAGAGAAAGTGTAATGCCTTTGTCTTAATGAGGCAATTATGAGCAATAAATGACATTGAAAGAAACGTTACTCAATCATTCATATTAAATACAAATTCTCTAACGTATTTGGCATTTAATGTTGTATTTGGACTCTTTTTCGCCATCAGATTCTTCAATTCCTTCTGATCTTCGAACTTTAAATGACTCGAACAGGTACGAGTCTCGTTTCATTTGAATAATAGCTCGTGCCTTTAAGTATCTTCTCTCCCGCATCTGTTGTTGCTCGTGCCTTCTAACTGATTACCACGCTTTGACTATTTGACCGGTCCACGTGTCATGACACATCATCTTCAATATTTAAATTCAGTTTTTTCCCAATACAGTTAATCCAATTTGTAAAGTACGCTTTTTTACATTTTTGCGTAGAAAATATTGTTAGGCAAACCCTGAACGTTGAACAATCGAGAGCTTTGAATATAAGCCTCTCAAAAGGTAAGCCACACACGTGAGCTTCAGGATGTGGTGTCCGCTCAGGAGCAAGTCCCGAGCGAGTCCCAAGAAATCTTTTAAAATACAAACAATGGACGTATGTTTCATTTCATGCACCTATACAATATAAGAGAGGTGAATCGAGTCGTTATCGATTCTATTTCAAAATGATATTTCATTTGTTAATCATCAAAACTCATATAATTCAATATCGACTGAATTGATCCGGCCATCACATAACTGTAACGACCCGACCGATCGTTTTGCTTTCTAGAACCCCGTTCCTCTAAATAGTGGCTAAAAAGGGCAAAGTTTGACTTGAGTTAACATTTTTAATAAATGACCTCGATGATGATTTAGGACTTGGGCGTATGTTCGAATCGGGTTTTGGATGACCCTGGTGTGTTTCGGCGCTTAATACTGAAAGTTGGCACATTGAAGGTTTTAACAACAACAACAACAACAACGGCCCAGTATAATCCCACAAGTGGAGTCTGGGGAGGGTAATATGTACGCAGACCTTACCCCTACCTCGAAGGGCAGAGAGGCTGTTTCCAGAAGACCCTCGGCTCAAGAAAGCAACAAGAGACGATATATTAGTACCATCAATAGAATCATAATAAAATAACAACAATATAAGAAATACGAAATAGATGGAAGGTATAATAATAACCGGCAGATAAAGCCCTGCATCAGTAGATGACCACTAGCATCCTAAAACTAACTCCTAGCTGGCTAGTCTCACTCTAGTGCGCTGTATAAATATTCACAACTTCCCCCTAACCTACAACCTTAATGCTCGACCTTCATAGTTCCCTATCAAGGGCCATGTCTTCAGTAATCCTAAGTCGCGTCATGTCCTGCCTGATCACCTCTCCCCAATTCTTCTTATTAGGTCGCCCTCTACCTCTCCTCGTGCCCATCATAGTCAGTCGCTCACACATCCTCACCGGTGCATCAGTGCTCCTCCTCTGAATGTGCCCGAACCATCTGAGTCTTGTTTCCCGCATCTTGTCCTCCATGGGGGCCACGCCCACCTTCTCTCGAATATCTTCATTCCTAATCTTATCCATCCTTGTATGCCCGCACATCCACCTCAACATCCTCATCTCTGCTACTTTCATCTTCTGGATGTGTGAGTTCTTAACCGGCCAACACTCAGTCCCATACAACATGGCGGGCCTAACCACTGCTCTATAAAACTTACCTTTTAGTAACGGTGGCACTTTCTTGTCACACAGGACTCCCGACGCTAACCTCCACTTCATCCACCCCACCCCTATACGGTGTGTGACATCCTCGTCGATCTCCCCAATCTCCTGAATAACCGACCCAAGGTACTTGAAACTACCCCTCTTGGGAATGACTTGAGAGTCAAGCTTCACGTCCCCTCCCGCTTCCGTCGGCTCGACCCTAAATTTGCACTCGAGATATTCTGTCTTCGTCCTGCTCAACTTGAAACCTTTAGACTCAAGGGCATGACTCCAAACCTCTAGCCTCTCGTTGACGCCACCTCGTGTCTCGTCAATTAGAACTATGTCATCAGCAAATAACATGAACCATGGCACCTCCCCTTGAATATGATGAGTTAGTGCATCCATCACCAGGGCAAATAGGAATGGGTTGAACGCAGACCCTTGGTGCAACCCCGTAACAACCGGAAAATGCTCGGAGTCTCCTCCTACTGTCCTAACCCGAGTCTTAGCTCCATCATACATGCCTCTAATCACCCTAATGTAGGCAACCGGAACCCCTTTAGCCTCCAAGCAGCTCCATAAGACCTCCCTAGGAACCCTGTCGTACGCTTTCTACATATCAATAAACACCATGTGGAGATCCTTCTTCCTATCCCTGTAATGTTCCATCATCCTCCTAATAAGGTGGATAGCTTTTGTGGTAGATCGCCCCGGCATGAACCCGAACTGGTTGTCTGAAATAGACACCATCCTTCGCACTCTTATTTCTACCACTCTCTCCCAAACTTTCATGGTATAACTCAGTAATTTGATACCCCTATAGTTGTTATAGCTCTGGATATCGCCTTTGTTCTTATACAACGGAACCATTGTACTCCACCTCCACTCTTCAGGCATCCTATTAGTCTTGAATATAATATTAAATAACCCAATAAGCCATTCCAAGCCTGCTCTACCCACACACCTCCAAAGTTCAATCGGAATTTCGTTTGGCCCGGTAGCTCTGCCCCTTCTCATCTTACGCATCGCCTCCATGACCTCATCGACCTCAATGTCCCTACAATAACTTAATTCATGGGGATTTTCAGCATTCCTCAATTCACCTAGTAAAATATCCTGATCCCCTTCTTCATTAGAAGTTTATGAAAGTAGGTCTGCCACCTCCTCTTAATCTGGTCATCCCCCATCAAAACTTTGTCGTCATCATCTTTTATGCACCTCACTTGGTCCAGATCCCAAGCCGTCCTCTCTCTCACCTTAGCCAGTCGGAATAACTTCTTCTCCCTGCCTTTGTTCCCCAGTTCCTCATACATACGAGCAAAAGCTGCAGTCTTAGCCTCCATGACTGCCATCTTCGCCTCCTTCCTAGCTACCTTATACCTCTCACTGTTCGATCTCCTCTCCTCCTCGCCAGTGCTACCTACTAACCGTAGTTAAGCCGCCTTCTTTGCTTCCACTTTACCTTGGACAACTGCATTCCACCACCAGTCTCCTTTGTGGCCACCGGTGCGGCCCGAAGATATCCCTAGCACCTCTCTCGCCGCCTTCCTTATACAGTCCGCCGTCGTTGACCATATAGTGTTTGCGTCCCCACTACTTCTCTAAGCTCCCATTATTGATAACCTTCCTTCCAACTCCTGAGCTTTATCCTTAGTCAAGGCGCCCCCACCTAATCCTCAGACGACCTCGTACTGGCCTCTTCTTCCTCCTTATCATAATACCGATGTCCATCACCAAAAGCCTATGCTGCGGTGCGAGGGTCTCACCTGGGATAACCTTGCAATCCTTGCACAACCTTCTGTCGCATCTCCTGAGGAGGAGATAGCCAATCTGAGTCTTCGCCACTGAACTTTGGTAAGTAACCAAATGCTCCTCCCGCTTCGGAAAACATGAGTTCGCAATCACTAGATCTAATGCCTTGGAAAAGTCCAACAGCGAAATGCCTCCTCCATTCTGCTCCCCGAAACCGAAGCCGCCATCACATTGAAGGTTTTAAAGTTCTTTAAATTTGGTTTAAAGTAGGTTTTGGTATTATCGAGGTCCGTTTGGAATTCCAAACCTGAGAATAGTTTCGTATGGTGATTTATGACTTGCATGCAAAATTTGGTGTCATTTCGAGTAGTCTAAGCATGATTCGGCGCATTCGGAGCAAATTGGAAACTTGAAGTTCATAATTTGCAATTTGGTTTTGGGGTGCGATTCTTAGTTTCATTATTGTTTTATGCACTTAGAGAGTTCGAGCAGCTCTGTATTATGTTTATGTGTTTGTTGGTGCATTTGGACGGGATTCCGAGTGACTCTAGTGTATTTTGGACCGCCCGGAGTTAAGTCGAAAACACCATATTTTCTGTTCTGGTTTCCTTCTTTGTGAACGCGGAAAGACCCTCGCGTTCGCGATGAAGGATTTGGGGAATGGGGACTTTTTCCCTTTGCGTTCTCATATGTAGGGCTGCGTTCACGGAGGCCTCGATCCTTTGGCCTTCGCATTCGCGTTTGGCAGGCCGCGTTCGCCTAGAAGCCTGGGCCTGGGCAACCTAGTTGCCTAATGCGTTCGCGTGTTGGGCCCTGCGTTCGCGAGGAGTAGGCGGACTAGTGCACTGCGTTCGCATGGATCCTCTCGCGTTCACGTACAACCTTTTTCCTAGGCTCCTCAGGTTAGCCCTTGTGATTGTGAGAGCTTGGCTGCGATCGCGTACAAGGACCACTGGGCAGAAACATCTTTTAAAAATGGGACTTAGGCTATTTTAGCTCATTTTTTTTTATCTCTTGGCGATTTGGAGCTCTTGGAGAGGGGTTTTCACCTAGCACTTTGAGGTAAGTAATTTCTATTTAAGATGAGTTTCATACATAGAGTATGGGTAGTTTTAATATGTAAAATTGTGAAAATTACGGGTTTAGCTGAAAAACCTAATTTTTGATAAAAATAGAATTCAACCACAAAAATGATTATAGAATTGGGTGAACATTATATATTTGAGTTCGTGAGGTTATGCGTAACGTTTATCTTCAAAAATCTCCGGAATCCGAGAACGTGGGCCCGAGGGTAAATTTTAGGATTCTTCCAATTTGGGTTGGGTAATTACTCTAATAGTTAAATTATGAACATTTGAACATGTATTGATTTATTTATATAACATTTGACTAGTTTTAGATTGTTCGGAACCGAGTTGAGGCTTTAGAGCGAATTTGTGGGCCGAAAAGTGAGCTTTGAGACAAGGTAAGTCTCTTGCCTAACCTTGTAAGAGGGAATTTACCCCATAGGTGATTTAAATTACTATTTACTTCTAAATGTGGGGGCTACGTACGCACGAGGTGATGAGAGTCCGTGCGTAGCTACTAATTATGCCTATGTCCGGGTAGTTTAGGACCCAAATCATGAAATATTTGTGATGTTTGCACTCTATTTGTTAATTAAAGTGCCTAAATTATATTGGAACTTGATAAAGAAATTGTAAGAGCCCGAATTTCACTTACTTGAGCTTTGGCGGGTTACTTGACTGTTAATAGAAATTTTTGCTTCTTTGTGTATTAGCCTTGTAATAGCTTTTAAATCGGATGTTCATAAAGTATCCTCTCTTCTTGTGGAGCGGGCCGAACGCCTCGGCAGTAGAATAGATGCATCTATTATTTGTGTTGCTCGACCCTCGATAGTGTACACATTATTCTGGATCGGGCAGTATGACCTCGGCATAAATTGTGCGTAATAGTACTCGGAGCCTGATTATATTTGTATTATTTTATGGATTGAGAGGTTATAATTATTAATGACAGAAATTGACCTGGATTTACTATTAGTGAAAGAATTATTCATTCATTGCTTGTTATTGAGTTATCTTTATTGTCTACATAACCCATGCTTATTTAGAATTTCAGTATTGTGTTATTAGCCCATAGTAAGTGTCGAAGTCGACGCCTCGTCACTACTTCTTCGAGGTTAGAATAGATACTTACTGGGTACATGTTATTTATGTACTCACGCTACACTTCTGCACTAATCGTGCAGGATCTAAGGCAGGTGCATCTGGCAGTCGTACCGGCGCGCACCCCCGATACTCCGAGGCCTAGTTGTGAGCTGATTCCTGAGCCGTTCTGCAGCACCTAGAGTCTCTCTTTTGCATCTATTTTCTGTCTACTTTACTTCAGAAAGTAGTTAGAGTTTTATATATTCTACTAGTAGCTCATACACTTGTGACACCAGGTCTTAGAATTATGCCGGTAAACATTTGAGGAGCAGGGCAAGGTGCCTGCTGCGAAGCCAACCGTAGCAGATTTCATGTTCGCGCAAGGATTTCAGGAGGTCATAGGCCGTATGCTACAATTCATGGATTCTATGACTCAAGCTAGTTTATTTCCAGCGGACCCAGCCACATCTCAGGCGGGAGGGGGAGCACAGACCCCTAGCGCTCAAGCTCCAGGGCATGCAATTGCCGTGTATCAGACCCGGTCGCACTGGCCGCGGGCGGAGCCCAGCCAGTTTCAGCAACTATAACTGAGCCTAGGCCAGCTGCGGCCAGCGAGCCGCAGAATCTATTGGACAAATGGACCAGGTTTCATCCTCCTGTCTTTGGAGGTGAGCGGCATGAGGACCCCCAGGACTTTATCAATCGATGCAGGGACAGACTGCACAATATAAGTATTTTGGAGTCCCACGGGGTGGACTTTACCACCTTTCAACTGGAGGGCAGGGCGCGTAGATGGTGGCGGTCCTATCTTCTCGGCAGACCAGCAGGTTCTCCTCCCATGACTCGGGATCAGTTCACACGCCTCTTCTTGGACAGAGCTATTCAATCCTCTAAGAGGGTAGAGTTGCGGTTTCAGTTCGAGTAGCTCCAACATGGCCAGATGTCGATGACTGGCTATAAGGCGAGATTCTCTGAGTTGTCCGCCATGCACTTATGATACTTCCCACCGATGCAGAGAGAGTGCGAAGGTTTGTAGCAGGTTTGCACTCTGGTATCCAGGCAACTATGGCCCGACAGGTTGAGATGGGGACTTCGTATGAGCTAGTCGTAGAGATAGCTCAGAGGATCGAGGGTGTTCGTCAGCGAAGCTGAGGGCAGATGGTGAGGGATAAGCGGGTTCGATACTCTGGGGGTTCAACGATGCCCCGGCTGGGGGTAGACGTCAGTTTGTGAGAGTTCAGTCTAGCAGGCCCACATATCCAGCACCGCCACCTCCTCGGGGTGCTCCAGTGCGGCCCTATTTCAGTGCCATTTCCCTACCGCCCACCATCTATTCAGCGATTCCTCTAGTGGGTATTCAGGCCATCAGGGTCAGATTTCACGTCAGCAGTCTGTCGTACTAAGAGGTTATTTCGAGTGCGTGGATCTTAGTCGTGTGAGGAGGTTCTGCCCCTGGCTTCAGGGCAAGGCAGTGTAGCAGGGTCAACAGCCTATGATTACAGCACCAGCTGCCACACCAGTCGTCCGGCGGCATAGAGGCAAAGGGCAGGTGGGTAGGGGCCGTCCTAGAGGTGGAGTCCAGTCAGGTGGCGCGCCAGCTAGGTTCTATGCTTTTTCGGCCAGACCAGATGCAGTGGCCTCATATACCGTGATCACATGTATTATTTCTATCTACGGTAGGGATGCTTCAGTACTATTTGATCTAGGGCCTATATATTCATATGTTTCATCTTTGTTTGCTCATTTTCTGGGTGTTCCTCGTGAGTCCTTGGATACTCCTATTTATGTGTCCACTCATGTGGGCGTTTCTGTTGTTGTGGATCGGATCTACCTGTTCTGCATTGTTACTTTTTGTGGTTACGAGACTAGAGCGGACCTTCTATTGCTCGATATGACTGACTTTGAGATCATCCTGGGCATGGTCCGGTTATCCCCATATCACACCATCCTTGATTTCCATGCCAAGATTGTTACCTTGGCATTTCTAGAGTTGCCTAGATTGGAGTGGAAGGGTTCGTCTGTCAGTGCAGCTAGTCAGGTTATCTCTTTTCTAAAAGCTTGACACATGATCGAGAAGGGTTGTTTGTTTTATCTAGCTTATGTTCGGGATACTACTATAGGGACTCCAATGATTGATTCAGTGCCCGTGGTCTGGGAGTTCTCCGATATGTTTTCTTCTGATCTTCCAAGCATACCACCAGACCGTGATATCGATTTTTGTATTGATTTGGCTCTAGGTACCCATCCTATCTCTATTCCACCGTACCGCATGGCTCCGAAAGAGTTGAAGGAGTTGAAGGAATAGCTTGAGGAGTAGCTAGCTTAGGGGTTCTTCAGACCGAGCGTATCTCCTTGGAGTGTACCGGTGCAATTCATAAAGAAGAAAGATGGGACTATGCGGATGTGCATTGATTACCGCTAGTTAAACAAAGTTACCATTAAGAACAAGT